GAGAGAGAAATAAGGAGAAGAGAGGAGCGGTGGAGCGCGCGGACACACACAGTGTCACACACACACACCCACACACATATATGTGGAGGAGGAGGAGGAAGAGGAGAGCTGTGTAGGACACAAGTAATAAATATTATAAATCAATACATGAATAAATGACAACACACACATACACACACAGAAGCGCACATAAACACAGAGTCACAAACACATACACACGCAGATACACACAGAGAGTCACGCACAGAAACACACACACACACACACACACACACAGAAACACAAACATTGCGCAACTGCTACACCGCGCGCGCTCCGTCAAGGGCACCGGACACAACCCGCATCCTGATGCTGCTCTATAAGCGGCTCTGACCCGCACACACACACCGAACAGACACACACACACACCACACACGGTTATAACGACACACTGCTCTGCTGTTATTATGGGATGTCTCGGTGCTCTGCGGTGATGGAGCCCGGCCTGCGCTTCTCCTCCGCGGTCGGTCTTACCGAGATGAGCTGCACCTGCGCGGCGCGGCGGGAGCGGTAATCGGTGCTGGAAGCGGAGACTCGCGCGTTCTGCCGCCGGTCGCGCGCACACACACTCACACACACCCGCGGGCCGCTATTTCATCCTCCGCTGCTGATTCCAATGACAAAATAATCGCCCGCAACGCAGACGCGATGATTGCGATGCGACGCTGCGCAGGACGCGACCAATCAGCGCCCGAGCCTACTATGGTAAACAGCTCGCTCATGAATATTAATGAAGCCGGGCTGCGGTTGCGCGATACCATCAGCGGAGCGCTCGGTCACGAAAGACGATTAATATTCATGATCCCGCCTCTCGCTCTGGGAGGAGCCGCTGATTGGTCGAGCTGCCTGTCAACCAATCAGGCGAGGCGATAAATATTCATGTGCTTGTCCTCCGCCGTAGTAGGATTCACACAGCCGGTAATCGTGACCGCATCATTACCGCGGAGAACAACAATAAACAACAACAGCAACAACAACAACAACACTCGACACGGAGCACGGTCACCTGCAGCAGAACAGCGCCGTTCATTTACTGCGGACATCTCTGATTTACTCGGCGGTTTACAGCCTGCAGAACACACACACACACACACACACACACACACACGACCTGTGACTGATTAAGGGAGCTGTGACTCAAGCATGACCGACACACACTGATCAACAGTTTCCTCTCTATATGGAAATAACACACACTCCTGCGCGCAGATTAACTGCTGTGTGGATGTAGTTCTCCTCACTGACGGCAGGTGGCGCTGCTCATCACAGAGAGGTGTTCACTGACATTAGGCTGAAAACTGTCGCGCTGCTGCATTAATGGCACAGTTGCTGATCTGTTAAAGTGTCTCCTCATCACTGAACTAGTCTCCTCTTATATCTATAAACACACACACTACGGGTCCGTCAGGGAATGTACGGTCTCCAGAGGAGGTCAGAGGTCATCACTTTAACTCAAAGGCCAAACTGACCCCAGGAGGAGATGAAGGGTCAGAGGTCGCCGTCTGTCAGGTGTTTTGACTTCAGTAGTGTGTGATGTTGAGCTATATCTGTACACACAGACTCGAGCGCAGCTGTAATGATGTTCAACGCACCAGTGTGTGTGTGTGCAGTGTGTGTGTGTGCAGTGTGTGTGTGTGCAGTGTGTGTGTGTGCTCTTCAGGTATATCTTGGCTTAATCCTCTTCATCTGTACAGGTATTCAGATTAATAACCTCACTGACGCTGTGAGATGATCAGGGAAGCAGCGCTGCTGTCAGTGTGGAGTGGACGCAGTAATAGCGGTGTTCATCATCTGTAACGGGGCATTGGGAACAGCTCACTGCAGTGATGACGCTCCTGTACTACAGTGCTGTAGACGTCAGTATGAGTGTGTCCGTCTGCAGGGCATCTATAATCTAGAGTCTCCGACACAGACACAGACACATCCACCTGTAGCAGAGATGCCCCTGATATAGACATCTACATCTGCAGCTCGACTCCTCCTCATAAACGCATCAGTGATTGTCACCTCCTACTCAAATCTCCTGACCAATCAAATGCTCTCTAGTGTCTTCTCATTGGCTGTTCGTTTGATGCACTCGAGCTCACGCGCTCTCACTGGCAGAGCTCCTCTGTAGCTGCTCTAAAGGGCAGGAGATGCAGTCTGGGTACATGAGTCAGTGTATGTTCTGCATGCTCCAGGCACACTGACACTATAAATCAGTTATTTTTGCCGGATTAGACATGTGGCCCTTCACTTGAGTGCAAAACTTGATGTGGCCCTCTGGTCTAAAACCTTTGCCCACCACTGGCCCACACTGACTCCATACTGGAGAGCTTCACAGAGCTCTATAATCCCGCTCGTACAGTCAGGCCAGATCATTAATCCACCATTTCACATCTGACATCACAGTAACGCTCAGAAATACAGTGTGTGTTCAGTAAAGTCAGCGTGATGGAGGGGTCTATATGAGCGATCTTCTGACCTCAGGGGAACATGAGAGCTTGTGTTCACATCCTGTGTGTTCTGCTTTCAGCTGTGTGTGTGAGACATTAAAGAGGATGATGAAGTGTGTTTGGTGTGCATTAATACTGTTAGGGTCTGCAGACGCTCATGATCAATAGTAGATGTGTGTGTGTTTGTGTGTGTGTGTGTGAGATGAGGTGTGTGTATGTGTATTGAGGACAGTGTGATCGTTTGTGTGTTAAACTCGTCAGACTCAGCGGCTCCTTCAGCACATCTCTCTCACACACACACACACACACACACACACACCTCTACAGCGCTGCTACAGAGTGTGTGACAGCAGCTCCACATAGGTGAGGAGCAGTGAGGAAACACACTGTGCTGCAGACTGCAGGAGAACATCAGGAGACGCAGATAAACGAACTCTGCTTCAGATGAGGGTGACTGCAGCCGTCTGATGGCAGAAACACTGATCTCCAGCAGACCAGATCAAACACTGAGCAGATCTTCATCATCATCATCCAGAAACCCTGATCTCCAGCAGGAGGAGGAGCAGGAGGAGGAGCAGGAGGCTGATAAGCAGAGCAGCAGATACTGATCAAGAGGGAGATCAACGCCTCACTGACAGACACGGCTCACACTTTCAAATGCAGATGAGCTCAACACACACACACACACACACACACACACACACACACACACACACACACACACTATGAGGACAACAGAAGCACACGTTCAGTGGTGGTCAGCGTCTGCAGTGGATGGTGGGTGGTGCTGGTCGAGAGCTTGATCAGTGATGAGGGGACTGGGTCCACTTTAGATGTCCAGAACAGCAGCGCTCTCCGTGTGGATATGCAGCGGTTGTGAAACACTTGATGACTCTGAGATTCAGAATATAATGTTGCTCTGTGTTCATGAATAAACAGATCTGCTTTAAGTGGAGCTGATCCAGGATCAAGCTGACCCGCACAGCTCCGCCCACTCTCAC